TGCTCCGCAGGTCAGATCACAAGATAATGGTTCAAATCCTCCAGAGGGCTAACGTGGAAACCTCAAACCGGAAGAAAAGGATCGACATCTTCTGATCGCCATTACAAGATACCACGTTCAGTTCCTGGTGAAGGCAATTGGACCGTCTCAAAATGATATCTGGCACCATAACTTAACATGCGCTGTTTCCTATAAGAAGCCAATTCACACGTTGATTCAATGGGCGTTAGTATTGTGATACTAAGAAAGGTGTAGTGGTGTGATGATCGTCCGATAGTATTACAATGATCATTGTCAAGTTTGGTGCTTCCCCTGTCTCTCATACATGGAGCACGCTTCCTTACCCTTTTAGTTCACAAGACTATAAAAGAAACAACCCGATTTTTCAAGAAGACCAAGCTAAAGCCACAAAGACTCCTTGTTGGATATAGCTAGTTCATGACTGATTGTATTAGGATATGGTTCTTTGAGTTTCTATTCATCGAATGGTGGGTGGGACTGGAAGGCGCACATCCTGGTACATTAGCACTCTACCTATGCTATCAGGACCCTGGTGTTGATAATATAGGAAGAATGGAGGGCAATAAGTTGACTAGATAGTTTCATTAGATAGATAGGTAGTAGTCAATTCCTATAAAGGGAAAATATATGTACTGTAAATTCATATCTAATAAAACAAGGTGTACGCCAGTCGTCGAAAAAAAAAAAAAAAAAGTTAAAAAAAAAAAACTCTTTTTTACTCACCTTTTTACATTTGAAAAATTTCTTTTTAGAAAATTTTTGAGTTGTTTACTTTTCTTTATTCTCTTTTTTCTTTTTTTATTTCTTTTTTCTTATATCTTTTTGCTTACTTTTTCTATCTTTCCTTTTTTCTTCTATATACTTTTTCTTTTATACTTTATACTCTTTTCTTTGTTTTTTTCTTTTTTTTTTGCTAAAGCTAGATTTTCCTTTCTTTCAAAAAATTTTTCTTCCTAGATTTCTCCCTTCTTTAAAAATTCTGCTTTATAATATCAATCCTAGGGCTCCTAACGATACCACTTCGATACCATTTCGATACCAATTCGATACTTAAATTTATTATAAAAACATATGAGTAGGTCACAACCCATATATTAAATTTACTATAGATCGGTATCATTTTGATACCAGTTCGATACCAGTTTGGTACTTTTTCGGAGTCCTAGTGGTTATTGTAAGCAAGCTAGCATTTAACTCATTGTACTAATACACATGAGAGATGTTGTTTCTTTCACAATGTATATCTATCATTATACAAATAAATAAAGAAATGATGTTTACCTACAAAAATAATAATAATAATAATAATAATAATTTAAGAAAAATATAATAATAATAAATAATAAATAATTATTGGTTATATTTAGAATTTTAAAAAGTATGAAACTAATTAAGAATTCTAAGAATTCTTTTTAATTTTATATTTGATTCTTAAGTTTATAATATATTATAAAAAAATAACAAAAATTACTTTATTAATTATTTTATTATTTAATTTAATATTTTAATTTTCAACAAAAATTTTATATTATATTTTTTAATTTTTATTTAATTACTGTTTAAAAAAAAACAATAAAATTATTGTTTAAATATTTCAAAAAATATTTCAAAAATATAATTATTTATATAGTAAATATATTAAATATTAAATTTAGTAATCAATTATTTAAATTTAATATTTTTATTAAACTTATATAATTTTAATTTATTTTATATATATGAATTACAAAATATAACTTAAAATTAATATAATAAAAAAAAATCTTTTTTTTTTAATCTTAAAAATAAATATAGGTTTATTTTTAATTTAAAATTATTATTTTAACTTGTTATTTAATTTGAATTGTTATAAAAATCCATAAGAAAATATTAAAATTAGAAAAATATAATATTTAAAAATAAGTATTATTTTTAAATTTTTTAAACAAATGCTTAGAATATTTGATAAATATTAATTACAATAATTTTTGTCTTATTATTTTTATTAATATATTTGTATAGAAAAAATAATTATAAAAAAATGAACAAATAAAAATTATCAAATATTTATTAAACAAAATATTTAAAAATATATTATTTTTTTTTTGATTAACTAAAATTTTATTATTAATAATAATATTTCAATAATAATAATAATAATAATAATAATAATGTTATTGTTATTTTAAGCAAGAAATAAAAACAAATGATTCTATTAATCATTTCATATCAATATTATTTTTTAAAAAAATTTTTTTTGGTAAGCTAACAATAATAAAATAATGACAAAAGAATTTTACAAAGATATACAGTATTTCTTTTGAATTTATTGAAAATAAAGATAATATCAATTAAAAGGTTGATTGACATTTTAAAATAATGGTTTTGAAAGATATAAATAAACAAATAGATAAATATTGAAAACATATTTGTCAAAAGGATGCAACAAGAAAAGTCAATTGTCAAAAAATTCAATAAGGATAAGTTCGGTATTTGTTTTTCAAATCAAATTAACCATTGATTTTCGAACCATTGAAAAGAAACACCATTGTTTATAATTAATTTATATTTTCATGTTTCACAACTACAAAAAATAATCGAATTATTTATTTGAAAATTTGATGGCACAATAAAAAAAAAAACCACATGTACATAAGATTGAAACTCTTTTCGACTAAAATTATCCGAACGCTAATGTAGCAAAATAAGCATGAACCCTTATACATGCGTATCGCAAGTTCACGTGACAGGATTCGGTTACGCAGCGAAGCAAAAATTTTTCAAGAACCTATCAAAATGTGTCCATTACTACCATAACAGGTAATACCATGTTTTAAAGTCGCAGGTCATCACAATTGCCTCCTCGGGTAGTCTGTGTTCCTACATTCAAGTTTGCCAACAATCAAACGGCCGCATTTATTTTTACCCCCGCCAGCCATCAAGCCATTCAACAAAAAAAAATGGATTTTTTTTTTTCGAGAATGCACACTTAAAACTTCCCCTTAAAATCAATAAAGCCTTAGGTTGACAAACTTATCATCAAAGATAAAAGAGATTTCAATCTCCGAGTTTACCAATTATCTTTCTTGTTTCATTTCTTGGATATGAAATTCCTTGTCCAGGTTCTTAAATTCCAAAATTGTAACTGCTAAATTTTCTAAAATTCAGCCATCAAGGTATAAATCAGCTTTCGATTTTTTACATCATAATTATAATAGAGTACAATATGTGCAATGTAGCATAGTAACATAACTCGACATGGTAATGAACTAGTAACATTTGAGTAGTAATAGATTATGCATTTGATTTCTTATTTTGCCAAAAAATCTTGTTTATACGGTTTGTGAAACATCCTTACACCGTGTCAGTAGAGTTTCCCTTTACGTTCAAAACTGCTCCCACCCCAAGTCGGCAAACCTCTCAAATTTGCAAAGTTTTCAAAAGTAATCTCTAATTTATTAGTCGTTAGTCTATTGTACAGCACTCTCTTTTCGGGCCTAAAGCCCAAAGTTGTATACTTTCCACGTATACTCACCCTCAACAAATACCTATTCATATAACTCTGGACAGTTATTATTTTAGTAAATAAATCTTAGTCTGACTTGGTTTATCAACTCTCCCAAAAATCATATACAGAAGATAAAAAAAAAAAAAAAAAAAATTCAGAAAACTTTCCTTTACAATACTTTCCATTCTTCAAAATCGGCACTGGGCACATTGAACTTTAGCATATATGGCGGCGACAATTCATCTAAACTCTCAGCAGCCTCTTCCTGTCCATCCACAGCATCAGCACGTTCAACATCAATCGGAAAGGGGTCGACCGATTTCGACGCCGGTTCCGATGAATGTTCCTAGATATGCTGAGATATCTCA